AATTAATTATAATTATTATAATTAATTATATTTAGTTTTAATTAAAATTATTATAATTAATTATAATTAATTATCATTAATTGTAGCACGATAGGAGGGAGCCCGGTGCGGTGCCTACGACGAGACGGGTAATCACTTCAAATCCCATTTTCGGCATTTGTAGCGGACCGGAAAATCACCTATACGCGCTCTTATAGCACGATAGGAGGGAGCCCAGTCCAATGCATACGACGAGGTGGGTAAGCCCTATACACGCTCTTGTAGCGTGGTGGGATGAAAATTTATACGGCCGCAGTGTCTAAGGACGCCTATCATACACGCTCGAGTAGCGTGTTGGGAAGGCCCAGCTCCCCTATTTTCCCCCAAACGGGGGATATGCTGGGGTGCTACCGAAATTTTCACCGAAATATACAAAGTCTGAACAATAAGAAGACCTCACTTGGGCAACAATGCAGAAGACTTGTACTTGAACAGAAATGCATAGAACTTGAACCAATGTGTAGAGGACTTGTATGAATAACAAGGGACTTGGATCTGAATTGAACTATAAGAAGTGGAACCTAAGTCCTAAAATGCATAATCAAGATTCAAATGTAAAATAAGAATCTAATACATTCAAACAATACAAACAAACAAACAGGGAACTCGTGGTGGAGAACTTTCAGATGTAATTGAACTTGTAAAGACTTCAGAAGACTCTGGACAAGCATTTGAACCTGTGTACTTGAGCTTGTAAGCATTTGACTCAAATCTGAGTGAACTCAAAGGACTGTAGGGGACTTGAACAAGACCAGTACATCAAACAAAGACTTTGATTTGGACTGGGACTGAACTTAAACAAGCATTTACACTTAAACAAAATAAAGCAACAAACAGACTTATAGAAGTCTTAAACTTGAATCAAATGATGAAAATATTGCTGTCAAAGCCAGTGAACTTGTATGTTAAGCTCATGCTGGGTCCAAACTCGACATGAAGAACTTGAACCTTCAAGAACAAGAAGGGAATCAATCTTGCATTTGATCCGGACAAAGAACTTGAATTGGTACTTGAGTTCGTGCTATACAACATTAAGTGGGAGTTGTAGATTCGATGAACTCGAGTCTAAATGAAACTTGAGTTGGGCTCAAACATATACAAAGGACAAAGCCTGAATCATGTGCGAGGGAGTTCAAACTACAAGAATATTTATACGATCAATAATAACTCAAAGTACGTTACAACACCTCGATGTATGAACTCCTACGACAATACCTACAATTGCCCGTTGATTGAAGAAGGCAATAATGTCACTTGATAGTGGAAGAGCTATCCCTACAAGCAAGTGCAATCGTCTACCCACCTGAGATTGGTGACAGGTGGGCATGATGTAGGCAACAATGGGTCTCCTACGAACAATTCCAGGAGCTCGTTGTGACTGCAACGGGTTCTCGTAAATATGTACAAGTCGCTTGTGGATAACAACAGTAGGTGTATTGTAAGCACAACGAACCACTGTGAGCACAAGTACAGATATCACCTACGACAGTAGTGATCAAGATCTACAAGTACGTCGAGTAAAGGGCAACTCGATGTACAAAAAGTATACTCCCTGGCAGAATCGAAAAGGAAGTTTGAACAAATTAGAACCAAACTTCCTGGTGTTCCCAAGCCTCTTCTTAGTCCTATACTTAAAAAGAAAACAATTCTGGTGCCCACAAACACCAGAAATAACAAGTCCACTACACTGACGACCTCAAAGGGAGTTCTCTTCAAAGCAACGGACTTCAAAGTCCAGAAGAATTTCCCCGGTGATTGAGAAAGGGGAGTCAATGTCAAGATGAAGAATACCTCATGACATCCAAATAACCATGCCACCGGATCTGCAACACTTATGAAAGTAGACAGCAGGCGTCTACAATCTACAACGCATCGCCACCAGATCCGCAACACTCGTACTAGCGGACAGAAGGCATGTATAGGCTCTCAAATGACATGTTGTGCATTCAAATGATAATTATCCGCACAACTAAATATGATAAAATACCCCTGCACATGCACTATAAATTGTATACACATAGGTACACTAAAGGGAAAATACAATCTCGACCCTCATGGTCCCCGACAAGCGTGTTATTGGTACACACGTGAAGTCTAGGGATACTGCGCGGGTCGATAAGTGAATTCAGGTTCGAACTTGATCCTTCTATATGGATCAATAGAAGTCGACAGGGTTCAAACCTTCAAACAAAATACGCGGTTGTAGCAACCGGTGTATTTGTTTAAATACATTCATATTAGGCCTTCAAAGCCTTTAATAAAGAAAATTCACTAATAAAGGCACAAAGTCTACGGAACCCGATCCTTCTATACAGATCAATAGGAGTCGACAGGGTTCGAACTTCAAACAAAATACACGATTGTAGTGATCGGTATATTTGTTTAAATACATTCATATTAGGCCTTCAAGGTCTATAATCAAGAAAAGTCATAAACAAAGGCATAAAGCCTACGAGAAACCCGATCCTCGAGCAATAGCTTGGTCGAGTTGACAGGGTTCAATCAATAAAGGAAAATGACCCAAAACACCCCGATGATGGTCGTGTTGAATGTAAATCTCAACCGGAGGGGTCCATTCCAAATATTTCCAAATGTCACCTCAAATACCCATTCAAAATCCAAACTCTGCAAATCTCAAAGTCCAGATATTTAAAAATCTAAAATAAATCCATCAATCACTCAAAGCAAAATTCATTCACCCTTCGCAATAGTTTGTCGAAGTGGACAAATTAAAAACTACTTCAGCTCACAAAAGAGCTAAATGCATGGTCGAAAATATCACTAGGATCCATTATCAAACAATCTCCTGCTAGTAAGGACGTGGTACGTGTCCTCTAACTGGCGATTTTATCACCAAATGGCACCACGAAATACCGGTTATGGTCAGCGTCGTTATGTTCCTTATTGGCATCAAATCCTTGAGATATGAATCAATAGGATATGATTGATAGGGCACAAAGCCCTCTGTTAGCTAAGGTGGATTCAAATTTGTCCCCTTAGGAAAATATTCACCCCAGGTCTACAAGGTACCCTTGGACGAAGCAACCCATGGCTGCCGACAAGGATCCTTCTGTCAGGTTGGGTCGACTACCTCCTCTGACTAAGTAGACCAGGGACCACGATGGCCCGGGACGACGGAACCATGGGATCTTGAGCGGGTCTATCATCCATTCCCCCACTATCCGCTTT